CATTCGTGAACTTGAAAAGGTGGTAAAAGAGGTTTGGGAAGCGATTCCGCAAAAAGTGTATCGTGACTTGGTGCGATCAATGCCAAATAGAATTCAGGCTGTGATCGCTGCCAAAGGAGGAAATACTAAATATTGATATGTATTAATTCCGAATATAAAATAAAATCTACTGCGATCTTAATAAAAAAAAATTTTATTGCTAAAAATAAAACCGTGCAATACTTTTGATACCCCCCGGTAATAAACGAAAAAAAATTTATTATGAATACAGGAGGTTCGCATCATGAATTTTGCACTTATCTGAATTAACAACTGCGCATATTAATTTTTAACTTTAACTAAGGAATTTTTTGACGAAATGAAAATTGCAACAAGACCAAATATAACAAGGCGAACAAATACATAAATAATTTATATAATTGCAAACTGAATTTTTCCACAAAAAAATGTGCTGTCGTCCCAAAATTACATCAGAAATGTTCATAATCTCTTAGGCATAATATAGAGGTTAATTTTAATTTTAATTTTAATTTTTTTTTTTTTTTTTTTTTTTTACCAAACAAAAAAAAATTGTAATTTGGATAAAAATATTTTGTTCTTTATTTATAAATATTAAAATAAATTATAAAGATAAAAAAAAAAAAATAATAATAAAAAAATAAAATTGTTAAATAAATTTTAATTTAATTCATTCTAATTTCCTAGTTGGTGCATCAAATGTATTTTTCCTATTGTAAAGTTAAGTAACAGAATTTATTAATTTTGCTTGAAAATAGAAACAAATACTTTGGACCTTTACCTTGATTTTAGAGCTAACATATGCATATGCTGCATAAATATGACATATTAATAAGGATTCCGGAAAATTTTCCAATAATTCTTCTGAAAGTTCATCAGGCCACAAATTAAGTCCTTCATCGTTTATATAAAAGCTTAATGGAACTTGATCCTTTTCAAAATTCTTTAAAAACCTTAGCATAAACCTCTTCAATGCAAGAACAAATACTTCTGCTGGTATACGTTTTTTGTTTGTTAGAGAACGTTCAAATTCAATAGCAGAATCAATTTCATCCTTTATTACTTTTGTGAGTTCAATTTTAAATTTGTCATCAATATATTTTACCATGGAATTTGCAACTTGCTCTTCAATCAATTCATAAAGATCTATTAAATGTTTGAGACATAATCCGATTTTTAATAAATTGTTGAATGATTTGCTTTTTGTCAACAAAGATAATTTCATCCATTGATTAACATAATCATTGATTTTTATCTCTTCACTTCCAATAGATGTACGTTTTACGAAACAAAGTAAAATTTCTAATGAAGAAAGAAGTTCAGACGCGCTATCATAAGATAATGAATAATTATTATTATGATATTCCCTATTTGAAGTGCTGGTTGGTACCATACCCATAATCAGAGAAATCTTATCAGATGGAATTTTCTGTTGACGAATCGAAGATTTGATATCACCAAGAATTCTCATATATCCTTGGAATAATTCCATGTGATACGGAAAAGATTCCATATATGCTTGTGAACCATTCAAAGTGCTTATATGAACTTTTTCAAAAACCAATCTACGTGCAAGCTCCATCTCAATCTTTTGTAAATCATAAATTATATCCTGACCACGTCCAATTTCAAGATTACGATCACTATTTTGGAGAATTTCATCATCCCATTTGTAGTTTATGAAGTTGTTTTGTTTAGTTTGGTCAATCTTAAGGGATTTAAGGTAGTAACGAGTAGGACTTTCTGCAGAATTATTTGCATCTGAAGTTGATGATGAAACGGTATTTTCCTGAATAAAATAGGGCTCTTCCATGAATGTAAGTGCTCTAGTAGATCCTAACGGAATCGTTAATACTTCTTGTAAGAAATTATTTTGTAATCCAATCAAATATTCCAAAATAGCACAAATATATATGCCTGAATCCTTTGGCTCGACTAAAGCAAGTGCAATGGGTGATGACAAATTCATATTCGGCTTTGGTTTTGTAAGTTCATGACATTGGAATTGATCCACATCATCAATAACCGAATTCCATGCATTAGCAAAGAGATTGAAATTTGATGTTAAGAATTTCAATTTTTCTACAGATTTCTCATTATTAGACTCTTCATCTATAAATTGCTTAAATGTTCGTTCTTGCGCTCTTTCTCGGCTCACGCGATACTCAAGTAGCGATGACATTATTTTAACAAAATTCACTATCGGCCAAAGGTATTTTACCTTTTCTAGTTTATCAAAATACTTGAAGAATATTGAAATGAAAGGAAAATGCGTTTCATGATTATTTAAATCTGAATTGTAATAAGCACGAAAACCTCGAAAACTCATCATTCCTATGGACCTCCAAAGTCTTGGTAAACGTTCACGAATGTATTTCTCATCCATTGGTAATGTTTGATTAATTTCTTCCTCGATTATGCTCGAATTTCCTTGAAGTTTAGTAAGTTTTGCACGGAAATCAGTAGCTGTGTTTCTAATATTTTTAATTAAAGGCAAAACGTAGCCTTGAGCGAAATCTGTTTCCCATTCTTCACGCTCTTGGGATGTCTTCAAGGTTGAATTTTTAGGTGGAGTTTCAAACATTCTATCAAGAATTGCGTGTAACAAGAAGGCTAGATTTTCTTCAGAACAATCTAAAAGATTCAAAAGAATTCTCCAATCATTCCTAATGTGTCCCATACAATATTCCACACTATCATTTACAATTTTATTGTTTTTATGTAAAAAGGTAGTTGCAATACCAGAAGGAGCCCAAGCGCTAATTATGGAGTGAACAAATAAATGAAGTATTCGATATGAAATAGGAGATAATTTGCGAAGATTGTGATTGATATCCTCATTTACTACTTCTCCAATATATCCTTTTTCATCCTTTGAGTTTAAGGGTTGATTAATTGGATTATAATCCAATTTCACATTTCCCTCATCGGAAATGTGATTTACTCCTCCAATAGAATTGTTACATTCAGGACATATACCTCGCCCATTGGCATTTCCACAATGACTGATAAGATAAAGATAACCACATTTGCATTGATATCTACAGTATTAAAAAGATAATTAAAAAATGTGTGGATAATTTTTTTTTAAATAAATATGAAATCTTTAAAATTCTTACCGCGTAAATTGACCTTCCTGCTTTAAAAAAACACTTAATATAATAGATTCTACATCTGATGGGCAAGTGAGGATGTACAAACCACCACAACCACTCAAGTTTTGCAACAAATATGCTAATGGTGATGACTCCGCAGGAATAGACGAGTGCAATGCTATAACGTTCCCGATGACAGATTTTATTAATAAATCCGAGTTACTAACATTCGTATCAAGTTGCAATATAAAATTTCTGTTTGTGATTACGTTGTCAACAACCCTCTTATAAATGTTAGATAAATGGCTTATTTTCCCGATTTTTTCTTTCAATAATTTAGAAGCTTGATTCTCCTCACGTTTCCACTCTCTAGTCGCTCTTATAATATGAAGTCGATTAAGAATACCTCCCATAAGTGAAATTCTAGCACTCATCTCTTCTTTCTTTGAAATTTTATTTAAGAATTCATCAAATTGTTCTATACTATTATTATATAGCAATATTGTGAAACAATTATCCACAGCATTATAATCTTTAAAGGTATAATAGACATTAAATTGTAATCGACTAAATTCCCAAGGTAAATTTTCCAGCCATGGTAATTTATACTTTTGAGCAAGACAAAATTTTTGGACATCATCCATGGAATATTCTCTATCACGTAGATCTCGTAGAAAATAAAATTTTAATGATTCAACTAAACTAAAAGATAAACTCAAATCATGATTTATTTGATTAATTAATTCATCAAAACCTTTGTAATCCAACTCAACCGGTCTTAATATTTTATCCTGAATCAAGGTACTCCAAAATTTATGAACAAATTCTTTCAGGAGCGCAATCGCTGTTACCTTACATAAACCCTCAACATTATCATTACTTAAGGCTTCAATTGCACAATGAAAATAAGGTGATAATTCAATCAAATCGTATCGTGCAAAGTATGTTTTCTGTATAACATCACAGAATAATGCTGCTATTGGAGAATGGTAACCTTTAACATTAAGGCAAGTATTGATAATTGTAAATAATGGTGAATCTAAAATTTTACTAGGATTATCTAACCAAGTCAAAAATTCGAAATGTTCAAGTTTATTTTCATTCTCAAATACACTTTTAATGATTTGTCCCATAAGAGGGAAAGGGTTTTCCAAGAATAAAGTTTGATAAAGTTCCAACCTAGAAGGTGAACCGAAAGGAATAATTTCCAAGCTCGTCATTACGTACGATTGCTTTGCACATAATAACTTATTTGGTTCGATGTTTTTAATGTTGCGAAGAATTTCAAAGACTTTGTGAATATATATTTTTGTGAATATTTCTTCTTCACCTCTAAACTCAATAATCTCTTTAATAATCTCCAATGGTATAGATTCATTTGATAATAGATCATTGCAAAAGTGTAATAATTGAAAAGACACTGTCCTTTTAAAGTTAGAGATGTTTTCACAAAGATTCAGAACATTTCTAATTTCGAGTTGCAATTCAACAATTTCTTTACATTCACTAATCTTTTTAAGCATTAAGCTAGTAACTTCATTCACAATATGTTGTTCGAAACTACCTTTATATGCTAATTCATCATTCATAATAATTTCATTGCGAATCGAAGGACACTCGTGAATTAGATGAAATGCCGCTAAAGATGAACTAGCATTCTTCCACCAAAATATATGTAAAAGAATAGGATTTGTAATATTTTCTCTACCAAGTTTACATTTGAAAATGTATGATAGTACGAGCATACTAGTTTTAGCTCTTGCTTCACTGCTATAAACTACATTAACAAAATCGTTAAAATATAAATCTGTAGCATCCAACAATGGAGAAGAGTCCAAGAGAATTATGGAATCAAAGATCTTTTTGGAAAACTCTTGAATATAATCTTCATAAAGTTTGGGACTTAAATTTTTTTTACCTCTACTAAGTATTAACATTTCCTCTTCATATAGAGTTTTGAAACTATCAATTTGTTTCATAAAATAAAATGAAAATGGAAATTGTAATTCAAAAACGTTAACGGGCATTGTATATCTATCTGGCTTTGGATCTGGTAATGATTCGAAATTGATAACATTATTATCCATAAACATATCCTTCCAGAATTTAAGAAGTTGTTGACTTTGTGGTAACATTTGTGATACTGGCATGTCATGCGTAAGGAAAGTCTTTGTAGCTCCTAAGCGTTCTAGAGAATATAAAATTTTCGCTATAAGATTACGAACTATGATACGGGTATATTCTTGTAATGCCATAGCAAACGAAGAATGTGGATATAATAACTTTTTGTTGGAAGCGACATGATATTGCCAATCAAGAATTGTATTTGTTTTTAACCACTCAAGTGTTCTTATTTTTAAACAATTTACGAAATTTGGATGGTCTAAAATGCTTTTGCTTAAATATCTAGTAAAATCAGAATAATAAGAAAATAAACATTAAAGTTCTTTGATAAAGTCAAAATTCAAAGGAATAGTACTTACTTGACATGATCAATGGAATCAACATTATCTGGATATTTCGTACATAATATACACCATAATAATTCTTGATTTAATATATCATTAAATGGATAAGTTGTTTCAATAATGTCACATAACTTGTGCTTCAGTAAAGCAGATAATGAGGTTGTTTGCTTTGCCAATGATTCGATTGTGATTTGTTTCCATCCACTCATAAAGTTGAACGAAGTTACATTCGCATTATTTTCTCGATGAGTATGAAGAATAATGCAAGCATGTTTAATGTTCAATACTTTGGACTTTCGTTGTTTTTGTAAATACTCGTTTCGGCATTGTTCGATAATAAACTTGGCTAATTTGATACAATCCGCATTTACAATAGAGATATCACATTGCAATATTAAGAAATCATCATCCAACTCAAACCAAAATCTGTTCACTTGTTTTTGAAATTGAGATTCGGTTTTAAATGTTGAAAGTTTCAAAGCATAACATCTCGTTATTCCTTCTAAGCAGGAATTGACATCTGTGTTGATGTTGGAAATCGTGTTAATTATGACTAAATGACCATCTTGATTGACTTTCACAGTTTTTCCCTGCAACAAATCTTGGAAATAATCTGCTATGCCATTATGATGTTGAACTTGGAAATATACATTTTTCCAATGTTGAATTTCTTCAAATTCCAAAGTAGATCTTTCAATTCGAACCATTCCATCAGGTGTAGCAATTGCGATTAGATTTTCCTTGCACTTTTTAAGTATATCACGATCTCTCATCATAGGATCTTTTTTCTTGATATCAATTATTAAGCTTTGCAATGTCTCTTCCTTATTGAAGCCAATAAACAAATCATTTATAGTAAATTTTGTTCCCGCTGTTCCTGCAATAGTTGACATTTGCCAGGTCCATTCTTGAAGTTGATTGAATAATTCTTTTTCACCTTTATTAAGAATATCGTTTATTGACATCCTTTGTTTTTCAAATCGATTTAAAAGTGGTGGATCTGCATTTTTTAATTTCTTTTCATCAAGAACCAGAATGCATCTGAAATCAGGATGAATATGCCTAAAGAAAAAAAAATAAAAAAACTTATGTAAGGAAAAAAAAATATAATATAATTTCTTAAAAAATAAATATAACTTACAACATGGGATTTGCATAAGCTCCCAAAGCAACTCGAGTAAAATACTTTGGATTATCAGGGCTACCTGATGTAATATAATTTTGATTCCATAAATCGTAAAGACTCCCTAAAGAATTAAATGTAATTGAATAAAAATACGATAATGAAAATATATGTATAAATAAAAATTAATAAAAAATTGACAAATTATACCATAAATGCTTTCTAAATCAGTTAAAATCAAGGGTCGTCCGGCTTCAACACACATCTATAGAAATTATCAATTTATTTTTAAATTTATTTGTAAAATCTAATAAGAAATAAAAAAATTTAAAAACTTACCATAATTTTACTCAAAATACTATAGGAATAATCATCAAGATCCTCCGGAAATTGTGAACCCAAAATTACAACTGGTTCCAATTTTTTTTCGTGTAACTGATATGCTAAAATATTTACAATCGAATCGCTTTTTCCTATAATCATTAAATGTCTAGAATGTTTGCTTTTGAGATTCTCGTGAATTAAAGAGTCGATAGGGATCGGGTCATAAGACCAATTTTTGTGATCATTGAGGATTTTAATAACAGGTTTGAAATATTCTAAACAATTGTCGGTAAGTTCTTTAATACCACCAAAATTTCTTACTAACGATAAATAAAGATTTTCGGGAGTTAACGTCTTATTTGAAAGGCTTTTTATGAGAGCATAATAATCACGAAGTCCATGAAAGTTAGGAAAAGCTTTTTGACCATTTGCTTCATATTTTGAATAAGCCTCTGCAAGCGTTTTAAGAGAAGCTTCATCATGGTTCATTTCGGCAGAATCTAACAAACAAGCAGCCGTTTCAACAAGATCAACCAAATCAAAATTCGGTCTTTGAACTAATAATGCTCTGCTATTTTTACTGTTATCCAGTCGCCAATTTGAAATTCCAATTACTGAAACGGTAGGACATTCAACCGGATAACTTGGCTCCAACAATGAATGAAGAACTTTCAAAGGGTTATAAGGACTTATTTCAGCCAATCCAACTAATAATTGAGAAATGAAAGATTAGGTCCATTCATTTAATAAAATCCAATAGGAGAAACAAAATATACTTGCCTTCATCAAGTAAAACAACGCTAATGACTGGAAATTCGTCAGAACTTGTCTTCTGATAAGCTTTTGCTTTTTGGAAAACCTTTTCTATTCCATCAGAAGTAGATGATGATGAGCCTTGATGAGGAATAAAAAATGCCTGAGGCAGTGTTCTAAAATATGTGTCATTAGAATCGAGTCCTCTAAGATTCTGATCTACGAGTCTGATTGCTAGTGATTTAGAAGAACCTGGAGCACCAACTATGAATAATGGTATTTTACACATTATGCAAACAATAGCAGCCAATACGTTCTCCAATAATGCTTCATTAAATGCGATATTTGGTGGACAATGCATTCTTTTCATATAGTCCATTTGCTCATCTCTAATTATGTCATTAAAACGAGTTTCTTTCATATTTCCAAATATTTTACACATCATTTCACGATATCTTCTTCTTAACTCACGTTCATATAAGCGAGATTGATAACATAAACCTAATGCTAAAACATAAGATCGGGTATCAATCTCCACAGAGTTATCGGGATATTTTTTCTTCTCATTTTGTCGTGTTAGAAGACTTTTATTGAAAAAATTGAACAAGTTAATGGCCCTTTTAACATCACGCAAACTTACACTATAAGGTTCTTCAACATTACGAATAAAGTTTTGTGATGCAAATAACAATTCCGCAAAAATGGGATCTAATTTCGCCTCTTGTACCATTATTTGAATATAAATCTTTTCATCTTTCGATTGAAGTATACCATAGTCCCATACGTAATCTAAAATTTGATCCGGAAGAGGTTTAACTTCATAAACGAGGCTGCTTTTTAGATGTTCAAATACGATCTTTTTTGGTTTCAATCCAACATTACTAACACTCTTATTTCGAATACGATATGGATTGCAGGCGGCAAATAGTCGAATATTTGAATGGATTGACTTTCCATCAAGCTTCCGATGAGCAATAAGCTCTGCCAATAATCCTATGTGATTACAAGTGTTTATTTCATCAAAAAACAACCAAATCTCTTTAGTTGCGGCTTTTTTACCAGATATCGTCATGAAATCTTTGATAGCTTTTTCTGTAACACCAGCATGAAGATTTAGTGAGTCAAATTCCACTTCTACAACCTTAGCCAAGAAACTAATTAAGCTCGTCTACAAAAGATGTATTGAAAAAATTAAAAATTTATGTGGTAAATAATAAACAAATATTAGTGTTAATATGAATAATAATAAAAAAATACCTTTCCGCATCCTGCCTCTCCACAAATGACTACAGGAATATTGGCTCTTGTTCTCAATAACATCAATGCCATTTTCAACAAATTATCCGCTGATAAAGCATATGGTTGATAAATAATAATATGCATTGTTTTTCGAGCCAAACTTTCTAATATGGTTAATAATTCATCTGAGGACAAGGTTTGATAATCTACTAATTCCCATCTTTGGCTTTTTAGCAATTCTAAAACATTATTTGGAACTATGTTTTTGTTACGATATAAAGCACTAATTGATTCAGGGGATTGAGACAGAAAGAATACCAAAAGATGATTAGAATCATCCCAATGAACTAGATTCTCTAATTGATCCACTTCGGCGGCTTTATTGGAAATAGATTGTAATTGCGCAGATTTTGTTTTGGTTGATTTTGCAGCAAAATCATTTGAAACATCAAGTAATGTATTAAATAATGTTGATCGAATATTAATATGATTAGTCATAAATTTCAAAACTTCAACGTTGAAGAAGGAGCTTCCTGATAACCTTAATAATTGATCAGAAAGCACATTTACAAAAATTTCTAAAAACCTAAAAGACAATATACAAGGATCAACCCTTTTAAAGAAATATTTATCCAATAGCGTTTGACAAAGTACTTGATCAAGCGGTTCTTTAACGGTATTATATTCACGTGATTGGTAAATTACATCTTTTTTATCAAGCTCCTTCTTATCATAAAGATCCAAATAATGGCAAACGATTTGAATTGGACTGTGTATATCTTTGGGTACCATCAATCTACCAATATTCCATACTAAATGCATATTATTTAAACAATTAATGAATGGTAGGGATTTAAACAGAAGATTACCAGCTATTTCAATAAATATATAGGTATCTGGAAGACTTATAATATCCGCGTTGTTTGAAATCATTCCCAGTGTTAACAATTGAAACAAGAATATATTGACTTCTCCAGGATTATCGGCAGATATTATGTTTATATGAAGACTATTATCTTGTTGAATATGGGAATTTTTAAGTTGTCTAATAAGCGAATTGTAACTCACTCCATCACTGATGAGAAATGAAACTAAGTTTTTGTCATTTTTAGAACTTTCCTGCTCAATAAATTTTGTTTTTCCTTGTCCAGATAATTCAGAAGTTACGCATGTAATCTTTGGACATAATTCACGATAAATGGTCTCCATTGCAACAGTGCTAAGTCCATCAGTGACATGAACATATTTAGAAAACTGGTCAACGATATGATGATGCATACCAGTTTCAGAACAACATATTAACGCTAAATTATAATCTTCTACCTTCTCCGTAAAAAATCTAATCTTATTTACGAGGTAGTACTGTAATTCAAAATCTAATAATTCCAAATTCGCAATGCAGAACAAATGACCTTCATAACCATTTTTTGATGCAAAAAAGCATCTTTTGATAAAAATTGAAAGTTCTTCTTCTGTAGTAGATGTCATACATATCAAAAGTTGCCAAGGTTCAGGATAAAATCCATGGTTGACATAAAATGACATTATTATATTAGGAACTTTCGATTTGTCATCACAAGCTGCGACAAATAATTCACCACATTTCACTGTATCTGAAATTACGCGTTCCTCGGAATTTTTCACTGGTCGTGCATGTTTTTCAAGGGTTCCAAAAATGAATTCTAATCTATAGTTAATTGCTTCTAAAACTTCATCGTAGTTATCCTTGTTACAATATAATCCAATTATTGGTGGTAATTTGGCTTTTCGATTGACGAATGACACAAGTGTTTGACAAGTTTCCTTTATTTCAAATTGATCGCCATTTTCTGTATAATAGTCATAAAATGCTAAAACATGTCTTGCTGGATAAAACGTTAGGTAATAACAATTTTCTTGTGCTCGGTTAGTAATATTCTCCCTACAAGTAATATAATTGTATTAATAATAACATCTATAATAAACAAGAAAATTCTCAAAAAAAAAAAAAAAAAAAAAAAAATTTACCATATTTCCAAGTCAGTTCTCAATCGCTTTGCTATTTTCTCTAAATTACGAGTACCTTTAGTTGATTCATTATATTCTCGATATCCGAAATGTCCTAATTGAGTTAATTTTTTCATGATTATAATAATACTTTGAGCAATGTCAACTTGATTCACAAATTCTTCCATTTTGATTTTCATATCATCGATATCATCATCCATTTGCCCAATAGAACCAGGTTTTGAAATTAAAAGAGCTCTGCTACGTAAATCCTGTAACTCGCTAATATTAAACCTCATCGTTTCTAATTTGTAGGGGTATGACAATTCCAAAATGCAATCTTCATCTATTTCTTCTTTTTTAAATTCATAAATACCAATATTTACAGCATTTTGAATCTTTTCCTTTGTATATTCAACTTTGTTATAGATGGATTTGTACATATTTTTTATCGCCATGACATTACTATTAATTAATGACAATTTACTTGCTAATGAAGGGTTAATATAATTAAATTCTTTTAATAAAGTATCCATAACTAAATTTGGATCATTCATCAGTGGATATACGAATTGCTTGATTTGAATAAGTGAAGAAATAGTTCCTTCTTGAATCAATCTGGTATTTGAGTGTTCATCGACGCCATTAATCAAATTTTTCAAATCATCATCTGTTTTATCTTTTAAGAATTCAAGAAATTCCTCTGATCGTGACAATTCTTTGATAAAATCCCAACTATTCTTATCGAATTTGGAAAATTTTTGATTAATAGTTTCAATGGAGTTACTAAATATGCCTAAATTTCCGTGATCAAACAAATTGTCAAGCCAGTTTTCTTTAATTTTGAAAACCTTAATAATTTTTGATAGATTTTCTATACGAATTTTCCAATCGGTATTTCTGGATAGATATTTTATCGTCATCATGAACGTCTTGCCTTTATTTATACAAATCTTGCTATATCTTTCCATTAACTTAAGCTCATCATCAAAATTAGAAACATTACACCAAAATGGTATTTCCTCAGAGAATTTGAGATCTTCCCAATTTTCATAATGCTTGCATTTAACAATATACTCCTTTAAAACCATTTTCATTAACGTTTGTGCTATATATTCAACACTCAAATCATTAGATTCTTCATTTAATCGTTTTTCAAAAACATTATAAAATATTTGAGATTTGTTTAGATCATATGTAACCTTTGCTATTGAAATAACTCCTTTATGGAAGCTCCAATGTGCTTCGGATAATGATTCATCTAGTGAGATTGTATTCAGTTTATTGCTTCGTTCTATTAATTCATCAAGATAATTTTGCACATCCTTGGATTTTTGTAGCGGACAAAATCTTTTATAGAAATCGCCAAGCTTTTTCAAACTCAGTTCATAGAAGCGACAATTCTGACGAACCTTAACCAATATATCCTTGGTAATGATTTCTTCACTATCATAATTTGCAGAATTTAAATAAAAATGAAGAATATCATCATTAAGATCAAGCAATTCCTGAAGAGGTAGAATTTTAATGGAACTGTTTTTAATGATCTCAGCTAACTCGATAATAGTTGTTCTAGCTTCTTGTACAAATTGATGTGAATGAAACCTCTTTGTACTTCCAGTTGCTCGTAGAATCACAATCCAGAATTCAGTGGACTCATGCAAAGATACTTCTGAATTAAGATTCTCTTGCAAACGTGACATGATGAGAAGTAAGATTGTTTCACAAAATCTAAAAACAAACCAAATAAAATTTCATTAATACAAATATTTTTTTTTTTACCAATAAAAGTATCTTATAAACTTAATGTATTAATCACTTACTCATTTGGTATCTCAAGACTTTTTTTATCAGTACAACCACATATAACTTGCACTTTCTTTAACAAATATTTATCGCGATCTAATTCCATTGAATCAATTTTTTCTTTAATAACTTTTGTAAATGCACATACCACTTCTGAACTAAAGCTATCAATTTTAGAAGTGACAGAGAAAATTAATTTTTCTGAAGACTGTCTTATACGATTGATCGTAATTTCCATCAAGTCGTCCAATAGTGATTGTTCATTTACTAATAATTTGCAGATGTTTGAAAATTTCTCAAAAACTTCGGTTACGTATTCTCCTTTATGATCCGTTGAATGAGACATTCGATCCATTATATCCAAAATCTTTTTATACCATCGAGTACATATTTTAGCTACTTTATTATCAATACCTTTAGACTTTTCAATCCAATTTGCAAGTAATGATGGAAATACGCTTAATAGCTGAAAATCTTCCAAGTTTGACACCATTTCCAACACAATAATATATTCTTCTTTTGTCCAGTGTAGTAGATTTACAGAATTTAAAAGATTAAAAATCGATTGGTGTCTGGATTTATTCCAATTAACACGACGACCATTGATTAATATGTCGAGTACTCTTTTCCTAAATAGGTCAGAGACTATATCTCTGATGTCATCAGGAAGCTCAATAAAATTTCTATGTAAATTATCAGGGTCATCTGAAGATATAATTTTTTTAATACATTCTATCAAATTTTGTTGAAGTTGCTTCTCTCGATTTGAAGATCGCCAAACGATTGATAAAATTTTCACGTTTTTACATTGGCTCATCAACCACTAAATAGATCATATTGAAAAAGAAAAGTATTATTATTCGATACGATTGACTAATAAATACATTCAAACAAAGGCGTAAATGTTTAAAAAATAAACTATATATATATATACCTTGATAATTTTTTCATGAATATTTTCATCATATTCACGTGCCAACAACATTCTAAAACAACTTTCGATATATTTGTCATCATTACATTTAGCAAAAGTTATGGTTTCGATGAACTTATATTGAGGATCGATATTTCGTGCAATGTTAAAGATGTTAATCCATTCGTATAATCCATAACTAATATTGTGATGAATTAAAAGGTCAAGTCCTTTAACTACAATATGCCAACTATCCTTTGGAAATGTGTCAGAATCTACTGTGAATAAAGCTTTAAGCAATATATCGGATTTAAAATCGCGAGGTAATTCAATTCTTCCGTAATTATTAGGACAATGTCCTAAAAGAAAGCATAAAAAATGATTTCTATCAATAGATGTATCCGATACATGTTTGCTAATAAATTGAATATTCGTTACGGATAAAGTTAATTCGCGATGCCGTTTTAAGATAAATTCGTAATCCCAAATAGCATTTTTGATGTTTTCTAAAGTTGCGGATTCATAAATGACGTCCAAGAACATATAATCGAATTTAGAAATAAAATGATGAGAATTACTTTTCCAAATATCAAAATTTTGACGTTGAATTTCTAGCACACGATTGTCACGCGGGCCAATTCCTTCAAATTGTAAGTTGTTTGTAGATACTGCATACTTATATTCAACAATTTCCTTAAATCTTTTGATAGGGACACGAATAGGTTCTGAATACCAATACGAATATGAAGATGTATAATTCCAAACATTTTTTTTATATTGTTTAAGTTTAACTTTAGGTTTTTCCCAATTACCAAGTTCCTCAATACTACCAACTACAACAGGTTCTCCGTGACGAAACTTAGGTAAATGTACACGAAATATGATTTCCATGGTTTCACCATCATCATCTGAGTTTTCTTTAGGTTTAATAATATTTTTGGCAATGGACTTTACTAATGAATAAATGTATGATGAATTTCTCTTTTCATTGTGAACATCTTCATTATTTTGTGATGTAGAACCGTCTTGATTACTTGAACCTTCTCCAGAATTAGTAGTTTGTTGATCTGGTTCATATTCAATGATTGAGCTTATATTTGCATTTTCTACAGCACCTTCCCCGTCACTTAATTTTGTACGAGCAGTAAGTTGTGGTCCCGGACTGAATTCCTCATTGGTATTAGCGACATGGTCTTGTTCTAGCAAAGTAATTTTACTTTTGTTATTAGTTGATTGGTCAACAACTTTATTGGGGCTCGAGTTAATTTTCTTTTTTCCTTTATTACTTTTTTTATTTTTATCTTCCATCGTTCAAAGGGATAGATGATAAACTCTCGGAAGTTCAATTTAAAACGTCCTTATGCATATTTGAATAGGGTCTAATTCCCAAAATGGAAACAATAACCCTCTAAAGCATCCTTATTCGGTCAGATCTTCATACTTAGAATCTTCTTAAGAAGGTTGAAGGAAAACCAAATATGGTAGTAGTACGGTTCGAATTTGGAGGATCATACTTTTATTAAAAAAAAAAATATATAATAAATGTTTTGTCTGTCATAAATTTAGATCATCCATTAAAAAAATTTTAATTGTAATTATGCTTGAAAAAAAAATAGAAATGGTTGACATCGAATATCTATAAGCAAATTTTTTAACTTTTAAAAGTCCCTTATCCTTTAAAATGAAGCTACGTTTTATAATGCAAATATGTTATACCACAAAAAGTAAACCTTTATTCTTCCTATTTGCCTTGTATTATAGTAGAGTACATGACACTTCAAAAATTGCTAATTAAGAACGGAAACGTAATAAAATGATTTATGTTATAAATATTTTTCATAACAAAAATTCATGAGTTTTTCTTTATAAACGTCATCGATTATTAATCTTTTGTCGTTTCTGCCTTCAAATGTCAAAAATTGATTTGTTTCTTACAAATTTTTAAGATTATTTTTGCATAAAAAAAAAATAAATAAAAAACAATCGTCCTGAAGAAAGTGATATTAAAAATAGAAGAAAAATCGCCTTAAAAAGAATGTTATAATTGCATATCTGAAAGAATTTTTGTAAATTTTTGGTGTAACTTAAATTAATATTTTTTATCATTCTTAACTCAATCTTTTTCATTATAAATTCATAAGCGGCAAATGTGTTGCTATTATTAAATTCGTAGGAATAAATGATCGATATGATCTTCTGAAATAATGGACACCAGTAATTTAATGTAAAATATAATGGTTCATTTCTCTTTGATCTTCCATAATTAAAAATCGAAACATGAATCGTTTTAAAGCCTAGGTAAATGCTTCTGCTGGTGACATTTAATCCATCGTGATTCGTTTAAAATTTACGGATTTAAGTATTTGGGTTTCCATGTCTTCCGAAAACGAAGCTTTATAATTTATATGGATATTTTCAATTTGAACAATTACAAAATATCTATAATTTCACGTATAAGCTTCTATTATTCAATATTGTTGATGATTGGCAATTGATGCAAAACATTGTACAAAAAAATTGGTCAAACAATTTCAGCTTAACCCTATAGGGCCGTGTGATGATATAGATTATCAACGTTAACCAATATCCATAAAATGTTAACTATACTATATACATTTTCGCGACAGGGAAGAGTATTTTTTTTTTAATGATTTCGTTTTTTTCTGGATTATATCGCTTTCCTTCTTCTTTACCTGTGCTAATATTTCATCAAATACGTTATTAAATTTATATATATATAAAAAAAAATCCTAGAAACTCGCGCAATAATTTTTTTAAAAATATACATCTTTTTATTCTAATAAAAAATATCTAGGGCACTTAATTGGCAAATTGACGCAGAAATTCATAATATGAAATTTGCTCAACACATTTTTTTTACATCATTAATTTAATAAATCTTAGAAATAAAACTAAGAAATGAAGAAAAACATTTTTTAATGCAACATAACATAAATTGTATAAAAATTGATCGACATGCATTCAGATGCATAAATAATTTCCATCTCGAGCTATACTGTATATTATTTGCTCCGCATCGCGTCACTCATTGAATTTTTAATTACATTAAAGTATCAACGAAATCTGTTCGGTTTATTTTTTTTTGAAAGTAAAGTAACAGTTTATCCATAATATTTATAGAAAATTTAAACTATATTAGATATTAAAGAAAGAATGGATGGATATATGGATGGTTGATTTGAAAATGATATAATAATTATATAAGAAAACAATAAATCTAACAAGGTTCTTAAAATATTTTATTTTCATATTGGAAATTGTTGTATCTAATTAAATATATATATTTAAACTTGAATTCGTTTACAATAAAGCGAGCCAAAATATTTTAAAATTATTTAACATACGTTTCTTTTTAGAAACCTTTTGCGTATTATTTTCGCCGATCAATATTTTATTAAAAAAAATAAAATGCTAACCAATCATATTTCGTAAATATTTGAATTTTTTTTATTAATTCTTTAACAATCTTAATAGATAGATTTTTATGTTATCATTAAATAATGACAAATAATAAATGTAAAGCTATCGAAGTTTAGAATTAATTAATTCATCCTGAGCTGTCGCAGATTTCTTTCCAATTTTACCAATATTGATTACGGTAACCTTTTCAACAATTTCAGGACTTGTGGTAGTATATTAAGGTGTTAAAGCTTTATTCTTCAGGAATGACGAAAGATCATTAATTAATATTAATCAAAAATATAAAAATCGAGACTTTATAATTGCTTATTCCGTATATTTATTTCCAAATATGAAATGAAAGTTTATAATCAGAGAGCACGTTATAAGTTTCGAGTATACCTTAGAACTAAAATAATCTATTTTAACGACTCTTAACTTAAATATCAATTAATAATAGTTAAACTGAAGAGTGACGTAAATTTCATAAAATGAAGGTTTTTCTTTAAAATTTTAGCATGCTATTAATACAAAAATTCCGTTAAAATATAAAGTATGCAGAATCACTTAAATAAAGAAATAAAAATTTTATCGATGTAGCTAAGACGCAATACTTATAAGCTTTATTTAGTATGTATCATGCCATGACGTCTCGTAATTATTCTCAAAAAAAAAAATTACAATGGTTTCAATAAAAATATAAAAATGAAAAAAAATTAGCCTAAAATTAGTTTATAATTTAAAAATATTTTTGGAAAAAAAATCTTTTTTTTTTAAAAAGCTTTCTTTTAAAAATTAACAATATCTGATAGTGACAATAAAGGTAAAAGTTTAATAAAAATGCAAAAAAAATATATTTCCACCAACAAAATAACGGAAATAAAGCTTAGCAATTGACGGTTAGATGATTTTTTAAAAAAATTTATTCCACAAATTCACAGTCATTGTTATGGAAGTAGAAGAAATAGAAGGTAATTCCATGCATTATTAACCACATTTAAATATTATAATAATTCATTAATTATACTGATTTTTATTCAATATTTTATCAAATGAACATAGAATCAGCTTCATGTGATGAAGGTAAACATAAATAATTAACCAATACCACGAAAATTGTAACGTTAAACTAACCTTGGGTGATGAAATTAAATATAATAACTAAATACTGCAATTCTTTAATTATATTTTTATTTAATTTAAACTTTGAAATATAGGATTAGTTCCGAGTGATGACGAAGGTAAATACAATAACAAATATATGTATTTAACAAATATAATAATTTAACTATGTTCTTCAAATATTAGAAGGATTGAATGGTAAAGAATAATCTTTCTATTGTTAGCCAAAAACAATATTTAATTTTTAAAATAAAACTTAATTTAATTTTCATTTATACATAGAATGTAAGCCATTTAACTTTTATATATCTTAATACAATTAAATTTTGATTAAATTTTTAATAAACAATATCTAATGATTAATAATATCATAGGGAGTAAGTTACCTATAACTTTTATATTGCAATTTAAACATAACTAATTTCTTTTAAAAAATTTTATTTTAATGGTATTTTAGTTAGTAAGTTATTTTATGAAGTTATATTTAATAATAATTTTTATAATAATTTTAACTCTCCAAATTTTTATTTATAGAACGTAAGTTTTGTTTATTAATAAAATTAATTATAAATGCTACTACAATATCAATCAAAAATACTAATATATTATTATTATAGAAAGTTAATATTTTAATTAATCAATTATACTTTTTTTTTTATTGAAAAAAAATTTAAACTCAACTAAGTTTTTTATTTAAAAAAATCATTAATATTTTAGATTTTAAGTTGTTTTTATTGATTATAGTATTTAATTATACTTTTTACTGTAATTTAAACTCAACCAAATTTTTTATTTAAAAAATATATTATTATTAGTTGGTAAGTTATTTTTATTGATTATCAGTATTTAATTATACTTTTTACTGTAATTTAAA